TCCGACAGTGGCACGTTCCAGACGCCTCCTGGCCTCCCTCCCCCACGCTGAGAGCCAGCCGGGGGCTTCCCGCGCGCTTTCCCGCCAGCTCGCCCCGGCGCGCGTCTCCGCTCGGGGGCGCGCACGTGGGCGGGAGAGGGCTCCGCGCCGACGCACGCGCAGAGGCCGCCCCCGTCTCCTGCCCGCCTTTGCGGCTGCAGTGTGTTTGTGTATGTGTCGGGGGGCGGGGGGCGACGCTCACAGGGAAATGTTTGCAGTGGGGAGGGGGTCAGCATCCCTGTGGGATACAGAATTCTGGCGTTTGCTTCCTCTCAGCCCCTCAACACCCCACTCTCTCTACCAGCTAGATGTGCGCAAGAGGGACGAGCAAGGACAAGTCGCTTTGCGGCTGGCCGCAGGTGCCAGGCCATTGCGATTGTAGGGCGGAAAGGCAATTGCTCTGCAAAGGAAACGGCGGCACTCTACTGCAGGGCATTCAAGTCAAAGATCACTGACTCTGAGCTGAGAGGGAGCCGAGAGAACGTTAAGGCCGAGGCCCCCATTTCACAGACGGGGAGGCAAGTGCCCATAGAGGGAAGCCTTTCTGAAGGTTACACAGCAGGACTAGAATCTCTGCGTCAGGAAGGGTTCTATGGGTTATTTTAAAAAAGAAACAGGTGCAGGATAATAGGCACGAGGAAAAGTAGAGGAGGCAGGAGAGGCCATAGAGGAAGCCCTTGTCTGGGAGTCAGGATCTCTGGGTGCCAGTCCACTTTGCCTACCCCTAACAGGCTAGGTGAGCTTGGGCTTCCTTATCTGCCAGTGAGGGTGCTTATCTAAGCAGTGCACCCCACCACCACACATGAACCTTCCTGCTCTGTTCAGACCATCTACAGGGAGGGTTATCGGCCTCCCTTGGGGTCCTCAGAAGAGGAATACCTCTTCCCCATGCCCAGGGAGTTTTTTTGAGTCACGGGGCTGTGTGGAGGCTGAGCTGGATTACTCCACCGTTTTTTCAGAAGTTGAGATCCCAGACAGCTGTTCTCAGAAGTGCAGTTAGGCCTAAGAGGAAGGTGAATGAGGCCTGGAGAGACAAGTAACTTCCCAGGTGACCACATGGCCAGAAATTGAAAAGGTGGAACTTAAACCCAGGTTGTTTACATTGAGTTAGGCTAGATTCTTGTACAGAAAAGTGATAGAGCTGTGTTTTGAGTAAGATTAATCTAGAGCTGTGTATGAACTAGGAGACTAGTCTTGCTATTTCTGGGTTCAAAAGTTAGCCCTTCACCAGAATCCTTAATTAAATCAGGGAAGGCCTGGGGCAAGGGGACAGGTGGATAGAGGCCTAGGGCCCTGACAGCTGTGGGGCGGCAGCTAGAGCCCAGGCCACAGTAACCTAGGCTGGGCTCCAGTCTCAGCTCCACCACCAATTTTTTGTGAAGGCTTGAGCTAGTCAATTCACTTATTTCAGCCTTGTTTCCTCACTTGTAAAATGGAGGTATAATGCTAACCTCATAGGCTTGCTGTATTAAATAGAATTTCTCCTACCACAGGGCCTGGCATGTAGTGCTTAGTAAGTGCTTATTGATTCATCATTCATTCAAAAAATACTTGCTAAGGTCCTGCTTTGTTCCAAGCCTATGCCAGGCACTGGGGTTCTAGAGATGAGCAAGATAGAATCAGCCTTCACCAAGATTGAGTTCCAGACCAACCATTCCTTGAATGACACTGGGCTAGTGGAAGAGGGGTAACACAGTACTTGGCCCGGATGCAGTGTCATGCACATAGCAAGTGCTTAACAAAGATTTGCTGAATCCTAGTCTTGGGTGCAACTGGTCTGGGCCAGAGATTATCCTCCCTTCACCTCTCTTCTTAGGAAGTGAGCACTGGGGTATAATGGTGCTGGATGTTGGGAGACATGAGATCCAGCCTCTACCATGGATCTAGTGGGCTTTCTCTGGGCCTTGGTGCCAGCCTGCAGAATAAGATAAGTGAGTGAGCCTAGAACTTAGGAGGCTGTTCACAGAAGAAGTCAGACCCTGGGGATTTAGTTTATGCATATAGGAGGGCATCCTCTACCTGATTTGCCATCATTCTAAAGCCAGGAGTGGCATTGACTTTCTGGAATGATTTTCTTTGGAAGTGTTATAAAGAGCTAAGGGCAATACCAGATGGGCTTACCTACTGACTCCTATTTCAAAAATGTGATTTTAAAAAAAATTGTTTTAATACTTACCAAGTGCCTTTTCCAAACCTTAAACTTTCATATTACTTTTCCAAGCTAATCTTTACCCGTGAGATAGTATTATTTTCTTCATTTTTACTGATGGGGAACTGGAGGCTCAGTGAACATAAGTGACTTACCCTGACATGATAGACTTGAGACCATAACCCAGTTGTCCGATGAGGAATGTTCCTGTATGAAGAATGTTCAAGGGAATTGGGAGAGTTCCTAACCCAGGAAAATAAGCAGACCCAGGAGGATACAATCCATTATGTTCCAGACTCTAGGGGACCGGGGAAGGGATTTCTGTGACTTATGTAAGCCTGACTTGAAATGTACCATTTTGAACAGGACTGGGGACTTTCAGAGCCTTGTTCCTGCAATGCAGGGACGCGCTGTGTTGCCAGTAACATTGCTTGAGATTCTTTGGGGAAATGGTGCAGAGCAGCATGCACTATGGCCCCAGAGACAAAACTGGGACAGGTCTTAGCTGCATCTCAGGAAGGAGCTTTTCCAGGCAGAGCTGCCCCTGGAGGGAGTGAGCTCCCTGTCCCTGGGGCTGTGCAAGCAGGTTCTGGCTCCCTTCCATCAAAGAGGCCACAGATGGGATCTCACTCTGAAAAGAAATTAATAACAGCTGCCATTTATTTTGCCTCTTCCATGTTCCAGACATTAAAATAGGCATGTTATTTACATTGTTTCCAACATTCACAACAACTCCTCATAATACATAATATAATGATACATAATATATAATACAACCTCATAATACATAATATAACCCCATTTCACAGGCTGCAGCTCAAAAGTGACCCAAGGTCACACAGCTAGTGAAGGAAAGGGAAGCCTGGCCCCTGGCTCTAAAGCTGTGCTCTCCCTCCAGCATGCTGCAGTGCAGTCTCCCATTTCATTAGGAATATGATTCTAAGGTTAAGTCAGAGCTAGGCTCAAAAACTGGCCTGGAGCAGGTATATGAATGGGTATTGGAAGATCAGCTGTTCTGATATTCCAGGGCTCCTGGGAAAACTGGCAGGGAGACAAAGTATACAGCAGCCCTTTAGCTGGCCAGAATATGAGTAGCACACTACTCCCAGTCCAGAGCACACACCTAGGACAGTTTGACTCCATCAAAGGCTTTCTTCAGAGAAAGTAGCTGCCAGTCCCCCTGCCCACACTGCACCAAGGCATCCCTGACCGTTCCTGCAGTTGGGGTCCATCAGCCCTCTCTACTCTGTCTTCCTCTGTGTCATTAGCTCCCACCTGCATTGACACAGGCTGCTCAAGAATGCTTGTCAGCATGTCTGGATGCCAGCTATTCCCTGCCTGAGCCCCACCAAGTCCAGCTGGGGATGCTGTGGCAGACAGCGTGATCTATGGACCCCACCCCCATTCATCTCCTTCCTACCCCTAGTCACCTTTCCCTACCCATGCCTTTGCTCCCTGAGCTAATTCCCTCAACACCGACCTCCTGCCAGCCTGATGTGAGAGCGTGCCTGTCTCTTCCACTATCAGCTCTTAGGACAGAATCCCAGAACAGGTAAATGAGGCTTCAAGATTGGTCCAGAAAAGAGCAGGGGCTCTCCTTGACACACAGTGAGTTTGTTCAAGGTACTAGGCCTTGAATTCCATAGTGTCACTCAACAAGCCCTTATCCTGGGCTTAGTCATGAGCAGGTCTCTGGGGTGAGGAGCTGCCCACCAGGAGCTCCCAATCTCAATACAGAGACCAAGGTCACAGCAGTGAAACATGTAGGACCAGGAGGGTCATAGGGACCCAGATCCTACCAGGTGGTAGCAGAGATCTTCTAAGGCCAGAGGCAAGTCCCCAAGAAGCAGGCACTAGGACCAGGAATTATCTTGTCAAGTGTTGCCTCTGCCAGAGAATATTACAACTTTGGATGGCAGGGGTGGAGGTGTACGGTGAATGAGCAGCCAGTGCCAGGACTATCATAGGAGCTGATAGGCACATGGTTTTGACATTAGGAGGCAGGAAACCACCTTGCAAATTCTATCTTTGCCAGGTACTCACTGAGTGTGACCTCTAGCGCATCACTGTCCTCTCAACCTTGGTTTCTACATCTATATAATGGGAATAACAAATTC